CTAAAACGATGGTGAATCACCCATTTCCAACTCTTTTGACTGACCAAATCGTGCTCAAACTGATAGTGGAACACTTCTTCTACACGTATGCATCGATTGGAACCACCAAAACGCATTGGAAGACGCGTTTCATTAAGGGCAAAGTTGGAAGAAAACCAGTTTTTCTGCAGGCTTCCCAGGCGCCTGGCGCCTCCCATGATGTTTTTTCGTCTTTTGATTAATTTCCACTCCCAAATGGTCCTAAAATGTCATAAATATAATATAAGCCAACCACAAACCATAATATATGAATTTTGCATGAATTGGAACTCAAACGACCGAGAAAAATCCGAAACAAAGCTGAAACATAGTAAAAACAGCATCTAAAACCTTCTTTTTACGCATGTAAACAAGCGTAATCATTAATGAGCCTAAAACAAATCGTTTTTGTCCACTACAATCTGCCGCCATGATTTGGGCCATAATTGTACCACCTTTGGGTTGCTCGAGTTTTAACAAGTCCTAAACCAAAAGTTTTTGTACACTGAAGTTGGACACCATGATTTGAACCAAAAGTGAAACATCTGTTGGTTACCGAGTGTTAATGAGTCCAAGAAAAAAAGTTTTCGTCCACTAGAGTTTGACGCCATGGATTTAACCATAATTAAACAATGTTTGAGTTGCTCTAGTTTTAATGAGTCTAAAACAAAAAGTTTTCATCCACCAATGTTTGACGTCATGATTTGAACAAAAACTGAACCATCTTTTAATTGCTCGAATATTAATGAGTCCAAGAAAAAAGGTTTTTGTCCTCTAGAGTTAGAATTGAACCATAATTGAACCATCTTTGGGTTGCTCGAGTTTTAATGTGTCAAAACAAAATGTTTTCGTTGACTCAAGTTTAATGCCATGATTTGAACCAAAATTGAACCATCTTTGGGTGTCCGATGATTTAATGAGCCCAATACCAATCATTTTTGTCCACTGAAGTTTGACACCATGATTTTAACCAAACTTGAACCGCCTTTGGGTTGCTCTAGTGTAAATACGTCCAAAACCCAAAAGTTTTCTTCAACTAAAGTTTGACGTCATTATTTGAACGAAAACTGAACCATCTCTTGGTTGCTCGAGTGTTAATCAGTCCAAGACAACAAGTTTTCGTCCACTAGAGTTATGAATTGAACCATCTTTCGGTTGCTCGAGTTTTGATGAGTTCCAAACAAAATGTGTTCGTCCACTAAAGTCTAATGTCATGATTTGAACCAAAATTGAACTATCTTTGCGTTTCCCATGATTTAATGAGTCCAAAATCAAACGTTTTCGTCCACTAAAGTTTGACACCATGATTTTAACAAAACTTGAACCACCTTTGGGTTGCTCTAGTGTTAATGAGTCTAAAACCCAACGTTTTTGTCCACTAGAGTTTGATGTCGTGATATGAATCATAATTGTACCACTTTTGGTTTGCTCCAGTGTTAATGAGTCCAAAACAAAATGTTTTCGTCCACTTGAATTTGACGCCAGGATTTCAAAAATAATTTAACCATCTTTTGGTTGCATGAGTTGTAATGAGTCCAAAAAGAAAAGTTTTCGTCCACTAAAGTTTGACGCCATGATTTGAACCATAATTGTACCACCTTTTGGTTGCTCGAGTTTTAACGAGTCCGAAACCAAAAGTTTCGTCTTCTAAAGTTTGACTCCATGATTTGAATCAAAAGTGAACCGTCCGTTGAATGCTTGAGTGGTAATGAGTCCAAGACAAACGGTTTTCATCCACTAGAGTTTGACGCCATGATTTTAACCATAACTGAACCATTTTTTGGTTGCATGAGTTTTAAGGAGTCCAAAACAAAAAGTTTTCGTTTACTCAAGTTTGACGCTATGATTTGAAACAAAATTGAACCATCTTTGGGTTTCTCGTGATTTAATGATTCCAAAACCAAACCTTTTGATTCACTGAACTTTGACACTCTGATTTTAACCAAAATTGAACCAGATTTAGGTGGCTCTAGTTTGAATGACTCCGAAACCGAAAGTTTTCACCCAAAAATGTTTGACGTCATGATTTTAACAAAAAGTGAATTATCTTTGGGTTGCTGGAGTGTTAGTAAGTCCAAACCCAAAAGTTTTCATCCACCAGAGTTTGACGCCGTGATTTGAACCATGATTATACCACCTTTGGGTTGCTTGAGTGTCAATGAGTCAAAAACCAAAAGTTCGTCCACTAGAATTTGACTCCGTGATTTGAAAAATAATTTAACCATTTTTGGGATGCTCGAGTTTTAACTAGTCTAAAACCAAAAAATTTTGTCCACTCAAGTTTGACGCCATGATTTGAACCAAAATTGAACAATCTCTGGGTTGCTTAGAGTTTAAACCTGTCCAAAACAAAAAGGTTTTGTTCATTGAAGTTTGGCACCATGATTTTAACCAAGATTGAACCACTTTGGGTTCCTCAAGTTTTAATGAGTTCAAAACTTAAAGTTTTCATCCATGAAAGTTTTAAGTCACGATTTTAAGCAAAAGTGAATCATCTTTAGGTTGCTCGAGTGTTGATGTTGGTTTAGGATGTTTAACGCCATGGTTTGAACCAAAAGTGAACCATCTTTTAGTTACTCGAGTGTTAACGAGTCTAAAACCAAATGTTTTCGTCCACTAGAGTTTGACGTCATGATTTGATCCATAATTGAACCATCTATTGGCTACTCGAGTTTGAATGAGTCCAAAACAACAAGTTTTCGTCCACTAAAGTTCGACGCCATGATTTTGACCAAAATTGAACAATCTTTGGGTTGCTCGAACTTTAATTTGTCCAACCCCTGAAGTTTTCATCCAATCAAGTTTGACACCCTGGTTTTAACCAAAAGTAAACCATGTTTGGGTTCCTCGAGTGTTAATGAGTCCAAAACAAAAAAATTTCATCCACTTGAGTTTGACGCCATGATTTGAACTCTACTTGTACCACATTTGGGTTGCTAGAGTTTTAACGAGCACTAAACCGAATGTTTTGGTCTGCTGAAGTTTGACACCATGATTTGAACCAAAAGTGAACCATCTTTGGGTTCTCCTTATTTAATGAATCCAAAACTAAATTTTTTTGTCCATTTTAGTTCGACACTGTGATTTTAACCAACATTGAACCACATTTGGGTTTCTTGAGTTTTAATGAGTCCAAACCCAAAGTTTTCGTCCAATAAAGTTTGATGCCATGATTTTAACCAAAGTTGAACCATCTTTGTGTTTCTCGAGTGTTAATGAGTGCAAAAACCAAAACTTTTCGTCCACTAGAGTTGACAACATGATTTGAACCATAGTTGTACCACCTTTTGGTTGCTCGATTGTTAATGAGTCCAAAACCAAAAGTTTTTGTCCACTAGAGTTTGATGCCATGATTTTAACCATAATTGAACCATCTTTGGGTTACTCGAATTTTAATGAGTCCAAAATCGAAAGTTTTCGTCCACTCGAGTTTGACGCCATTATTTGAACCAAACTTTATCCATCTTTGAGTTTCTCGAATTTTAATGAGTCCAAAACCAAAAGTTTTTGTCCACTCGAGTTTGACTCCATGATTTTAACCAAAATTGAACCATCATTGGTCGCTCGAGTTTGACTGAGTCCAAAACCTAAAGCTTTCGTACACTGAAGTTTGACACCATGATTTCAACCAAAAGTGAATGATCGTTGGGTTGCTCGAGTTTTAATGAGTCCAAAATCTAAAGTTTTCGGCGATTGAAGTTTGACGAGAAGAATATGAATGGCTGATTATTGTGGCTAGCTTTAAAATTTTAAAAAGCAGCAATTTATTCATCCTGTTTTTCTTTTTATTATATTTATTAATTTATTTTTGTTTCTCAACATAAAGAATATAATAATTTTGCAAAATTTCAATTGTGATTTGTATACTATCATTTAATATTTTGCCAGTCACATCATAGTCAATATATAATAAAATAAGATGGGCTGAAGATGTAAGAGGTAAATGTTTGAATGAAACTGCGTTTTTTTTCCTCTTAAAAGGTATTATATTATATTATTTCAATCTTAAATTTTATAATTAATTTATTAATAATTGATGAATTTAAATTATAATTATAATACAAACTATATTATGATAGATGGAGATGGAGTGTAATATATATATATATATATATATATATATATATTTAAATGTAAAGTTTTCATATATATTTAAATGTAAAGTTTTCATATATATTTAAAATGTAACAAACAAAAATATTAAAAAATTAGACAAAGCATTAAATATAAAAGAAAATACAAAATAAATATTATGTACAGCATTCGTAAAGCATAGTATTCATTGACGGAAAGTTTTTTCAAACTCACAACCTCTTGGTTGGAGGTATGTGTCAATTACCGCTGAACTATTCTCGCTTTGGTAAAATTTGTACGAGAAGTCTTCTCATACATTAATGTAAAATTAATTACTAAAAAATAATGTAAAGAAGAATAAACAATTGAAACTAATGCGTTTTATTTAAAAAAAATAATAATTAAATAATATTTTTAATAATTTATTATTTAAGAAGATGTTGCCTATCATTTTTGTTAGCACCATGACATAATTAAGAATGCTCGATACATTACGTATGAAGTTTAGAATTTTATAAGAACAATGATAAAATTGAGAATTAAATAAAATATCATAGATTATTTGATATATTTTTAGCCAATGTATAAACATACCAATAATAAGTTAAACTAAAAGATAAAAATAGTTTTCAATCACGATAAAGAGGGAGAGAAATGTGAGAGTTGTGGGGAGAACAAAGCGAGAGAAAGTTGTGGATAATTATAGTGTAGCAGGGAGAAAAATGTGTAAAGAGTTAGAAAGTGAGAAGAGATAAATTAATGTTGAGGAAATAGCGAACCATCAAGGAAGTCTATAATGGATTATATTACGTTGGGTTGTCTACCGGACGAAGTGATGATTGAGATTTTATTGCGGCTCTCACCGGAGTGTCTCATGCGATTCAAAGCTGTTAGCAAGTCGTGGTATGATCTCATCGAGGATCCTGAATTTGCAGTCAAACACTTGATGTTTTCTGTGCAACAACAAAACCTTCCCAATGCACCCCCCACTGTTCTTTTAAAGAGTCTAGTGTCGAGGGACTCTGAGACGAAACAAAACATATTGTCCTTTCTCACACTTTCCAACAACGATGTTGATGACAGTGGATCTACTGTGGACATTGATGTACCATTGTTTGAGAACTCTGTAGCTATGGATTTCAAGGGTCATTCTCACGGCATAGTATGTTTGTCTGAAAACCGCACCGAAATCTTCTTGTGCAATCCAGCTACAAGGGAGTTTTATCAACTTCCACCATCGATTATTCTTCTAAAAGAAAGACCACTAGAGCCAGATGGATTTGATTCTTCTACGAATGCGGTGGGGTTTGGATACGATTCAGTGTCGATGGATTTCAAGGTGGTAAGAGTTGTGGATTATTGGGAAGGCCCTTTTTGCTACCCTTCTAAAGCAGAAGTGTACAGTTTGAGCACAGGGCATTGGAGAGAAGTAAAAAGTCATCAAAGTGTTTCTGTATATTGGGCTCCTTCATTTGAGACGTTTTACGAAGGCATATATTATTGGTGGGCTGAGCATTCGTACAGAATGGAGAATAGTGAAGTTATCCAAACCTTCGACATGAGTCAAGAGGTCTTCCAACTGATTCCAGTGCCAGATACTTTTAGGAGATTCGATGATGATTATAGAAGCCTTGGTGTTTGGAAGGGGTCAATTGTTATTTTACATTATCCAGTAGATGGGGAGGAGAAAATGTTTGACATGTGGGCGATGGAGAATAATCAAAAGGGTGAGGTTTCATGGTCCATGTTAATGAGAATTGGTCCTATTTCAGGTGTCGAAATACCATTGTTGTTTGTGCACAACTGTGATGAACTTCTTATGGAAGCAAAGGATGGACGCGTGGTTTCGTACAACATGAACACCCAACATCTGAAGCAACTTCCAATTAAAGGCCATCCAGAAAGGTTCGAAGCTACAAATTTTGTCAAAACTCTATTGTCTATCAAGAGTGGAAGTAAGTTTGATATTCAAGTTGCCTCCCAAACCATATAATTTGAGTTTTCAATTAGATTTGACTGCAGTCTTTATAATTTGTAAACACATTTGGTCCTACTAAGTGTATCGATCTACATATGTAAAAAACATAATCTTTTATCTTATCATTTTTCCCAGTAGTTACAAATTCTAGATTGCAATGAATAAATTGTTACATCCTAAAGCAAGTATTAAATTGTTACGAAGTGGAAAGTAGATGGACTAGATTATTAAAAACTAAAATTTAGGGACTAAAGCATTATTATAATAAGTATGCGGACCAATCAATTTAATATTTTATTGTTTACTCATGTGCAATATTTATTATTAATTTCACAACAGTCATAACTTACTAATATAATCTTGTATAAATGAAGTTGTCCTGACAACTTCATTTATAAAACATAAATAATTTAAATAGTCTTTAGAATATAAAACATAACTTTGCATGCCCTGTTTTTTAACATTCAGCAGTAGAAAATTGGACTTCTATGACGGTTATGAAGAGTAGCAAAGATTGAATTAAAAATTAAAAAAAATAATGTCATGGATGTCACAGACGTGAATTGGGAGGGAAAACCACGTTGATTCACATATTTTTTAACGATTTATGACACTTTATAACTGTCAAAAAATTGAAAAAAATTGTTAAATCAGCGACAGTTTTAAAATTGTAAACATAAAGGTATTCATGTCAATTAATAATTATCAAAATAAAACTTTTCATGACAGTCAAAACTTCCAATGTTGACCGTTTTAAACTATCACTATATAAGTTTACATTTTTCTTGATGTTTATCAACAGTCGTTAAAAAATATTTCATTTCCATTTTGAACAGTCGTTAAAAAACATTTCATGACAATTATAATCTGTCGTTAAAAAATATTTCGTGACATTTATAAACTGTCGTCATTAAGTTTATTCACAAGAGAATTTTTTATTTTTTCAATGACAATTAAAAATTATTATCAAATGAATTTTGTGACATTTTTTAATTGTGACGAAAGATCTACCGGTGGCAAATTATAAATGTAGTTGTAAATGCATTAATGACAATATTTCAAAATTGTTATTTTCTCCTTTTCCTTGATGCCTTATTCCATGAGAATTATATAATTTTCATTAATTATATTAATGATAATTTTTAATTGTAGTTGAAGTCCGGATTTCTATTGGTGATTGTTGGTATTAGCTAATTTGTATAAGTTACAACTAATTTTATCTTAAATATATACCCATAGTTATGCAAGTGTGAGTATCACATAAAATAGGTCGTGTTTATGCAAAGGTCTGCACAACGATGCTTTACAAACCAAGCTCGAACCCAATCATCGGCTCGACCTGAACACAAGAGTGGACCTGCACAAGAGGGTAAACACTTCGACGCTCAAGTTAGTATAGGTCGGACTCAGTATTTAGTTCGAGGTGAGATTCGATACTTGAGCGTGAAATGAGGTCCTCTATTTAGAGGTGGTGGATCCGACAGTACTCACGACTGGCGGTTACATGTTTTTTCTCATGTCGGACCTGTCGGGTTCCGAGCAGATCGAACCCCAATCAGATCGGACTTTGGCATGTATACTTAGCCTTTTCCCAATGGGCGAACCCGACTTCTTCGGCAGGTTCGAGATGGACCTGGGATATTTTAATTCTTGAACGCCAATAAACGTCCTCCACGTGTCCAAGGTATTTCGAGATGATCCTGGCCACTCGTTCATTACATGTGATATGAACCAATGAGCTCCCTTTGTCATGCCTCATGGACCGATTACAAGATCAAGAGCTCGGAAACTTCAACAAGCCTTACTACTTCGTGTCCAAGCGTTCGTGAACTCGACACGAGAATTAAAGGAAGATGTGCAAGATGTTGGAACAATTCACTTCAATTTGGTGCAAGTTATGCATTTTTAAGTATTTTTAAGGCAAGTTAAAGTCCACTTGGTCAAGGTCAAAGCCAACTTCATCAAGACAAGTCAAAGTCAACTCATTCAATTCAAAAACCAAGTCAAACACTCACATCCCTCATTATGGACAGGATTGCACTTATTTTGGTTGGCTTTCCATGTTCTTAACCTTTTCTCATTTGCTTGTCTTTTCATTTATTGTAAGTTATGTCTTTTCATTTACAAGTCTTTTCATTTCTTGTAAGTTACAAGTCTTTTTATTTGCTTAAGACTTTCCATATGGCTTGCTAGGATGGCTATATATAGCCTTGAGATGTCTTGTTGTAAACACAATTTGAAGTTTAATGAAAAGTGAGTTTTCTCATTAGCTTGGTTGAGAGCTTTATCTCCCATTTCTTGTGCAATTTCTTGTGTCTTTAGAATTTTCATGTTAGGATCATTCAAGCGGTGTTGATCATACCTCTTGTGGAGTGATTCGAATCACGAGTTTAGAAACGAGTTTTCTCTACTCTTGATATTGATCATCAAGGTAATCTGTTCTTAAACATTTCCTTGGGTTGATTCCATACTTGTTTTCGGGTTTTTGGGATTGAGTTCTATGGGTCTTGTTCGTTAGCAAGGTTCTTAGATCCAACTCTCAAGGGTTTCTTAACAATACGTGTACGGCGTAGAGGTTTTTCCGATTAGCTATAAATAGCTCCGAGATTTCAGGTCAAATCTTACGTTCCCTGAATTCTTCGAGTTCGATTTGAAACCAGCTCGAACCTTCCGTAGGTCAGTCATTCTTGTTTTACTCTTCTTTTCAAATATGGTGGTTTTCTTGTCTTCCCCTTCTAGTAGTGATAGCCTAGGAAGCGCAGGTCGGACAATAAGCAGTTCGCCCCCCAAACCAAGTGACTCTGGGGAGGACTTAGCTCTTAGGTTAGAGTCCGAGCTGGAAGAGGTAGAGAACTTTAGATTTTCGGACGATGGGGAGGATAGTGACACTTCCACCTCGGGCCAAGGTTTGGAATACCCTTCAAAAATGTCCGAGCACTATCTCGAACCCCGCCATAGGGGGTTTAAAATTCCAAACGACATCCTCCTTAGAATTCCGGAGGAAGGGGAAAGAGCTGACAACCCCCCAGAGGGGTGGGTCACTCTTTACTTGAAAATGTTTCAGTACGGCCTCAGACTTCCTCTTCAACCCTTTGCCCAGGAGTTCCTGAATCGAACTGGTCTGGCTCCTGCTCAAGTGGCCCCCAATGGATGGAGTGTCATTTTTGCCCTGACCATTCTTTTTTGGTTGCGAGCTCGGGATGAGGACGAGGCCGAACTGCTAAGTGTCGAGCAGCTTCTTGGGTGCTTCGAAGCCAAGAGAATAGCTAAGAAGCCAGGTCAGTATTATATGCGCAAGGAAAGGCGCGGGTGGTATAGTCAAAGGGCCGACCTCCATCAAAGGATGGGTGGGGAAGTGGTTCTTTGCCTCTGGGGAATGGCTGGCAAAGGACGAGTCAGGTAGTACCTTCTTTGACGTTCCCACTAGGTTTTGGAACGTAGGTATGGAGTCGTTCTTGCTTCTTTTTCTTTTATTATGTAGCTCTAATCCTTTTAACCCTTTGCTTCTCATATCTAACTCGAACCTCCGTTTGCCTTGTGCAGTATCAATCAAACCGATTCCCGAGCTCACTCAAGCCACATTCGACACCCTCAAGTACTACAAGGATCACTTCCCAAGGGGCTGGAAGGTCGGAACTTTGGTGACTGACAAGCTACTTCTGGAGTCGGGGTTGTTAGACTACAACCCCTTGGTGCGCCCGGTTGAAGCTTCAAGGCCAAACTCCGAACTCGGTAAGTCGAGCTCGGCCTTACTTCAATTTTGTATTTTAACTTTCATTTCTAACTTTTTGCTTTATTTGCTTTGCAGCAATGGTGTGTGGATTTACTAACAGCGTGAAGCGCAAGTCCAAGGGTCGTGCTCACGCCCTTAAGTCCGTGGATGGTACTGAGCCTGCAACCCCTGCTATGGCTCGTCCTACGGACCAAGGCAACGCTGGGCCATCTTCTGAAGTTCCCACTCCCGTGATCGGGCTAGACTTTACTGGGGATCACTCCGGGGAGAAGAGC